GGCCGTTGATTAAAAAGATTAGAGTGGGGCAAGATGGTAATTTGCCATAAAGTGGTCAAAATTGGACTTTTAAGTTCAAATTTCTCTCTCTCTCTCCTCATTCTCTTTCTTCTCCCTTCGGCAGCCCCTCCCCCTCCCTCACCGTGAGCTCTCTCTCTCCCCATCTCCCCGGTCAATCGTCCCCCTTGGCCGTATGCCGCCGTCCACCGCGCCGTTGCCGCCGCTAGCCGCCGCGCCGATCGCCGCCGCCGCACGGACTGCCGATCACCGCCTGTTTTCCCGCTCTAGCCTAGTTAGTCTAGAGTCCGGTAAGTCGCAATCTAACCCTTGCCTAGGACATCGGGTATTATCGGACTCGTTTAGACGCGGTGTAGGGTAGTTTAGGGGTGGATTAAGGTGTTGATCGTGATTGTTGGTGGATGGTCATGGCTGTTAGTGGCTGTTGCGTGTTGGATTAGACATCTGGGAATGAGTTTTGGTGGTCGAAATTCGGTAGAAATCAATTCGGGTTTGAATCCTTGAGGTTTGGTGTGATTCTCAAATTCGCGGTTACTGTACCCATCCGGTTTGCTATTTTTGTGGAGAATTGTGTGGGCCGAATTTGAGGAAGTTTTCTCACGAAAGTTGCTCCCAACATCTTGAAGTATAACATATTTTAAATTTTAAATTTTTGGAGGCCATTTGGGTCGCACGAAAACCCATTTTCAGACCGTATTAAAACTGCCCGGAACACTGTTCATCCCGACCTTCTTGTGTTACGGAATTTTTATAAAATTTTCCAGATCTATTTTCAATAAACTTCCTTCACAAAAGTTGTTGGCGACTTTCATTTCTATGACATATAAAAATTTCAAAGCTTTTCAAGGTGATTTGTGTGTTGAAAGAAATGTATTTTGAGGACAAAATAGTCTGTTAGAGCGAACTGATTTTGGTCTGATTTCGAGGGACAAAAAGGCTTGGTTGCAGATTGAAACGGATTTCGTGTTTTTCATAAGAAATGTTTATCAAGATGTTTTTTATGATATATCCAAAATTTAGAATTTTTGGAGTTCGTTTACTATTTATTTTGATGGGATTTCGGTCACTATGTAATCTGTCCAGATTTACCCTGATTCTATGGATGTTCATTTTTATGAGCGGAATGGTGGGGTTGTCGAGGTTGAATAGTTGCTGCCCTCGTGACTGAAATTTATGCTTGAATGCGTGTTATATGAGTTGATTTGAGGATGAAATGAGGATGTTTCGAGGCTGGAGTGAGACTGAATAGAGTGTCGGATGTTGTGGGATGGAATTGACGAGTTTAGGGCTCGATTTAAAGACAAATGGTGTCGGTTTGGTGTGTGGTAGTGTGGCTGAATTGTGGTGTTTAATATGCTCGGAAATGTCGAATTTATGCCTATGAACGTGGCTGTGTTTGTGGGCCCGTGAGTGGCCTTGTGTGTTTATTGTACCGTGATTTGATGGATTGAAATGTGCTTTGTTATGTGCACGCTCGGGCCTAATCGAATTGATTGCAATTGGCCGTGCTAGATGCTTATTGAGCATGAGAAATGCGTGGTTTGATGTGTGCACGGGCCAAGTGTGAATGGCCAATATGTTGGCATGTGAGTGTTTAGCATGTGAATGAGTGAGAAAGCGTGTGTGGTGCGGTACGTGTGATAATGAAAATCCCTGAGGCGGTATCATTACGCGGGGAATTGATCCGTCCTGAGGCAGTACAACTACGCGGGACAATGCCCGGTATTGCCGGAAGACTGCCAACCTGAGGCGTGTACTTCAACGCGGGTTGTGCCGTAGGTGGTAGATGTTGAGCGTGAGGCGTGTACTGTAACGTGGGCGAGAGACATGGCCTGAGGCGTATACTGTAACGCGGGCCGAGGAGTGCTAGGAATATGGCTAACCTGAGGCGGTACCATTACGCGGGTTGTGCACTAGGAGAACGGATGTTGAGCCTGAGGCGGTACCATTACGCGGGCAAGATACATAGCCTGAGGCGGTACCATTACGCGGGCCCAGGAGTGTTGTGTATATGAGATGGTCGCAGTGAACCTGAGGCGGTACCATTACACGGATCACTGGCGAGTGAGGTGGAAAAGATGCGATAAAACGGGAACAAATGCATGAAATGTCATTAGAACATGCATGTGAGTGGAATAGTGCTATTGTAAGACTAACGTGCAGGTTGCGTGTATTGAGAATCAGTTAAGTACGATTGTGTGGACGTTGTTTGTGTGTGGCTTGATTTGGTGTCTGGACTTGTCTGGAATACGTGGTAGCCTAGGTAAGGTTTAGGTTGTGTACTTATTGAGAAGTGTCTCATGGTTGTATCAACCAAACCATTTCAGAGCACCCACCCAAGCCATGAACCTTCCGTCGCCGCCGCTGCAGCGTTTTGGGATTGTTATGCATACTAATCATTATGTGGTAGAGTTCCCGATCGAGATTGAGGCCGATTCGGAGTCGTCGGATGAGCCTGTGCCTGATGAGGATTCGGATGAGGATTCCGAAGAGAGTGAGTCGAGTGGATGCCGGCGAGAGGGCATAGGGATTAGTTTTGGGGCGAGGAAGAGTGCGGAAGTGTCCTATTTTGGTGTAGCGTTACCCAGGCTACTAATCTTTTGTGATATCGGTGGGTTGCAGTTTAGTAGTTCAATGTGCATATTTTGCTTTGTGGTTTGTAAATGGCGATTGTGGCATAAGTTTTTACTGTAAATGGATATTGTACTTAAATTGAGATATAGTATAAGATTTGGTAGTTTGGCAATTTATTCTCCCTAGTACCCCTGGTAAATCATTGTTTGGGTGTTCGTTGTTTCCGCCGCGATTAAACTCTGATGGGTTTCTTTTGGGTCGGCGATGTTTCCTGGGACGTCGCACTATTTCGACCGAAGAGGGATGTCGCGTGCTCGATGAGGTTTGGGGCGTGACAATGGACGTCGTTTTTTTTTGCGTTTCGGAGTCGTTTAGATGAGTTTTCAGGCTTTAGTTTTGAATCTTGGATGACTTTAACTTTTATCCGTTGATGATATGTTGCTTGATTTGAGCAGGTGATCTATTAACATGTCAATGGAAGTAGAGAAATCCTATGATTAGATAACACCAATAATGGAATCAGAATTACTAGAACATGAAGGAGGGGAAGATGACTTTGAAGAGGCATCCAATACAGATAAGGTATCCGGTTCTTATCCTCGGTCTAGTAAGCGAAAATCAGTAGCTTGGCTTCATTTTCGTAAAGGCAAAACTGACGTGAACGGGAAACTTCAAATGTTTTGCAATTATTGTGGGACCAAGTATTTGTACCATGTTGATAATGGTACTTCAACTATGTTGAAGCATTTGAGAAAGTGCCGTAAGTATCCTGGCAATATAGATAAGAAGCAAAAATTGTTTGCATCACATAAAGTATATGGGAATCAAATGATAGGGGGAAATACTAGTACTGAAAGTGCTAGTTTTTTAACGACATGGAAGTTTGATCAGGAGAAATGTAGGGAAATGCTAGTTCGAATGATTATAATTGATGAACAACCATTTTCGATGGTTGAGCGTATTGGATTTCGTGATTATGCCAATCAATTATAGCCTCTCTTCAAGCATGTGTCGCGATTTACGGTGGCTAGAGATTGCATGAAGTTGTATTTTTGTGAAAAAAAGAGTTTGAAGGCTTCCTTTCGTAAGCTTAAATCTAGAATCGCACTCACGACTGATACATGGAGTTCCCTTCAGAATTTGAACTATTTATGTCTCACCGCACATTTTATTGATGAAAACTGGAAATTGAACAAAAGAATCATCAATTTTGCGATGATGCTTAGTCACAAGGGTAGGGATATTGGGAAAATGGTTGAGAAATGCATTTACGAGTGGGGAATAGACAAAAAAGTGTCAACAATCACTGTGGATAATGCTAATTCGAATGATGTTGCCATTTGTTATTTGAAATAAAAGTTTGCAAGAGATAAACTATTGATTTTAGTTGGTGAAGTTTGACATATGAGGTGCACGGCTCATATATTAAACTTGATTGTGAGGGATGGCTTAGCTGAGGTACGCGATTCTATTGCACGTATTTGTAACGTTGTTAGGTATATGAGAAGTTCTCCCATGAGAGCTAAAGCATTTCAAGATTGTATTGAGAAAACAAGGATCACTTATAAGGGTTCAGTTTGTCTTGATGTCTCCACTAGGTGGAACTCTACTTACCTAATGTTAGACACCGCCATAAAGCTAAGAAAAGCTTTTGAAAGGATGGATGAAGAAGATATTTCGTTTTCAACTGAGCTTAGCTCCGATACTCCAAATGTTGATTGGGAAAATGCCATTATTCTTTGCAAATTTTTGAAGAAGTTTTATGATGTCACCAACAAGATGTCCAAGACTTTGTATATCACTTCAAATGATTATTTTGAGGGAATAGCTTCTTTATTCAATTATCTGAAAGAAGCGGTGAAGGCTTTTGATCCTAGGGTGAGAGTTATGGGTGCGAAAATGAAAGATAAGTTTAACAAATATTATGGGAGTTTTGAGAAAGTGAATATGATGGTGTTGATTGCTGTAGCATTGGATCCTAGAAAAAAAATGAATTATGTGAGGTATTGTTGTAGACTCATTTATGATGATAGTGCAATAGTTGATGAGATGTTTGATAAGGAGAAGTTCGCCCTGGAACGTTTGTTTAAATTTTATGAGAAATCTCTCTTGGTTCTTGTGACAAGAATTTGGGTGGTGAACTTTTGAGTTCTACTAGTGCCGGTAGTAATTGCGATCCTTATTGCAATGAGGGAAATGAAGGGGAAGATTGCGGTTTGGATTTCTATGTGCAAGAGCCATCATATGAAGCCTTTCTTAACGAGGAGAAAAAGAAGTCCAAGGGCAACTTATTTGAACTCGATCGGTATCTTAAAGCTGAACTTGAAGAGGCTCGCGATCTTGACATTTTGATGTGGTGGAGCATGACCGGTCAAAAGTTTAAAACTCTATCTTTGATGGCTCGAGATATTTTGTCTATTCCTGTAACTACCGTTGCTTCAGAGTTTACCTTCGGTACATCTGGTTGTGTGCTTGATGGCTTTAGAAGTTCTTTGACTCCTAGAGTCTTGAAAGCTTTGATTTGCACTCAAGATTGGTTGAGAGCAGTTATCGAGCCGATTAATGTTGAAGAGTGCATCGAGAACGCGGAAAAGTTTGAGTTGGGTAAGGCTATATCTTTTCATCTTGTAATTATTTCGTATATCTAATGAGTGAATACTTTATTTAATATCTTCTTTTTGTTAGATATGGATCATGTTAACGTGGAGATTAACGGTACATAGAGTTTACAAGTTGAAGTGAAAGGAATATATGTGGTGAGATTTTTCAATAATTGTTTGATTTCAATTTGTAGTTCTAATTTATAACTAATGTTGTGTGATCATCTTCATCTATACTTATTGTTGTTTTGCTTTCAGGAGGTTGGAACTTGGAGTTTTAGAGTACTCAAAGCCTGAGAAGTTGTTTACTGCTTTTATTCCTGCGTAAGTTCGTAACTATGGTGAACTATGCCCGTTTCTGCAAGATCACTTGTTGTTTTCAGGCAACTTGTGGGTGTTGAAGACCATATTGCATGTGCCCTTTGTTGACATTTGCTAGTGATTTGATCGTGAAATTACTGGTCTTTCTGTGAAATATGGGTTGTTGTCTCCATTAGTGATCGCTCGCTATTTTCAACCTTAAACTTTAAGGTGTTTTACTTAGGGTCTAGGTTGTGCTGAGTTTGTTTCTCTAAAATAACCTTGTTTTTGTATTTATTCCCGGGAACAAAAAGTAGATTTTTTTTTTACTTCTTGCTTTTGTTCTAAATCTATTCCCTAGCCATAAGTCTATTTCGGGGAATAAAAAAATTAACCAACGTACACAAACAGATTTATGTTCTTTTTCTGTTCCAGGGAACAAAAGACAAAAATAGAGAGATAGAAATGTTACCAAACGCGTCCTTATAAACCCACTATCAACCCAATTTTTGCGAAAAATGAACGAATCAATAGATTTTTTCCAAAAAATATCGCATGCATTGCTTGTCTAAATTAGTTGATCAATTACATTTGGCCACATGAAAATTTAAAGCCTAATTCCCAAAAAACAAAACACCAATTTTATCTTGAGTGATAATTTTGGCCTGAACTTTTTTTTTGTCTCATAAAAAATCACTAACTATCATTTAAATCTCAAATCTGACTCGAACAATTTAAAAATTTTACATCTAGGGGGCCATATTTGGGACTCGAGTAAAAATTGGTGCTTTTTATTGAAATAAAAAAAATTCGGATCAAAATTGACACTCAAAGTAAAGTTGGTGCTTTTCTTTTTGGAATTAGCCCGAAAATTTTCTGACCTTAATTTTGTGCGGTCTTAATTTTGCCAACTCTTATCTCCTTCAATTCGGATCACCCCACTTGCACAAGACACCAATCCCAATGATATTATTACCTATTGCTAAGACTATAGTATAGTATCTATGAATTTTTTACTTGACTTAACTTCGTCACGTTCTTGAATTAGCAATTCATATTAAATTCGAAGGAGGGCCCATAAGCCAAGGTTAAATAATTTAAAAGTAGAATATTGAGATCTCACCTTCCAAAGATCACGAGCTACAGGGCAAAACTTTATTGCCCCCCCCATGTGCACTGAGCTGTAGCGCTGTCACCGTGTAGTTTTACATGCTTGATGAAAGATTGTGGGTGATCACATGGTGTATCAGATCAGACCGAATCGGCCAGTCACGGCGGTTTCCGATTTCAAGCATGGAACTAAATCATCCGAACTATAGATCGATATGTTTTTTTTTTTCCTTTTCTTTTAAAGAGTAAATAAAAGGATATTGCCAAAACCCTAAACTGGACCGATCCAGCCCGGGAACCAAATTGGAACCGCCTAGTCCGATCTGGTTTGATTCCTGAATCTAGTGTAGAATAAGCCTAACCAATGAACCGATCGCCCCTGGTTATATGGGTCTAATAATGTACGGACATTTTTGTAAGTTAGGAAGCGAGACAAATGGATGCTTTTTTTCAACAATATTAGGTGCCATGAACTATTATTATTAAATTTTAAAAGGAGATTCAATAATAAAAAAAAACTCCAAGTAATATATGATCGAAGTTACACCGAACAATAATGAAAAAAAAGATAGGACAGGCAAAAAAAAATAATGAAAAAAATAACGGAATAATGAAAGCGGGGGTCCTCAAAACTTGTGTCGGCTAGACATTTTTAGTTTCACAAGACTTCCTTTTATGTTATATAAGTCTTAAAGTTTGCGCATGTTGTCCATCTCACGTTTTCCGTCAAATCCTTCTGTCTTCTTCTCATACACGGAAATGGCCATGTGCTTATTTTTTGGATTAATGTCACTAAAAGTTTCGAATTAGTACTAATTTTATTCCAAAATTGATTTTCCACCAAGAAGAAGATCTCAAATTGGTACCGGTGCTACATTTATCATAAACTAAGTTCCGTCTCGCCCAAAATCCCAAATTGATTACCCAACCCAGACTTTTCCTATATTAGCATTTCGCCCCAATATCTTTGTTAAAATGCATACGTGTCTTTGCATGTGTTTGATGACCTCAAGACGGATTTGACGTGGAGAATCATAAATCCCTACACGGAGAATCCATGCGTCTTAGCATTCTGACAGCATTCCGTCCAATATCCCGTTAAAATGCATACGTGTCCACGCACTTGGATTTTCCTCGTCGGGTCGGTCATTCTCAGCTGCAGAATCCATCTTGCGGTCGTCTGCCACGCGTGTCGACACGTAGTGCACCAAACAAAATGCTAAACGGGCGGAAGATTTGGGCCACGGGCACCCGGATTGGAAATTCCTGGCGAGGCGAAAATTAATCTGCGGTAAATATGTCATCAGATATCCATACATTTTCGAAGATCCTACGTGGTCCATTTTTTTTTTACCAGATATTAGAAAGAAATCACGTGGATTGTCCCACCAAATTTCAGAATGTCTTAATCAGGCATTGAACACAGAATTGGTCCCCGGGTCATCAATCATCATGGGTCCGAGCTGTTGCTTAGAACAGAGTCTTTCGTAGCCGGAACTCCTCCTCCGTTCTTTCGACGAGAAACGTCAAATCTTGCAGAGTTCCGGCTGCTTTGTCGTAACAGCGATCGGCAGCATCCACTTGTCGTCCGCACGTTCGATGCCATCTTGCCCCGTGACGGTGCGGTCCGCATAGGTTTCCGTCCCATGGTCGTTGTCTTTTTCTGCGGAGCTCGCAGTTTTGCGGGGACGATATATTTAAACGACTCGAGCGCTTCGCTAACGCGGTGGGTGGGTGGTTGGATCTTCCTCTTGTTTTTCTTGGTTTTCTTGTTTTTTCTCCTGATGAGGGAATATAAAAGCGCCATCTGAGTTTGGATTTCTTGTCCTTCTGTTGAAGAACCGTGCCACCCCGCTGCAACAAGGAAGGACCCTTCTCCCGGTTTTCGTTGGACTTACAGCGAGTGCTCTTTCTGGGTTCTTGTGGGTTCTTTTCTTGATCCTGGAATCAGGTGAGAATGACGTTGATTGTGTTAGATCTGTCACATTTTGCTCTGAAATGGGTGTTGGCTTCGATGACTTGGCAGCTGTCTATAGATTAAGATTGTTGCTGATTGGGAATGTTGAGATGGAGGATCGTCCATGAGCGCGAAGTTGCAAATGTATCAATGTTTCGGATCCGTTCTGGGTTTTGAGGGAAAAATGCGTTTCTTTTGATTTGTGAGTTGCGAAATCGTCGTGGTCCGGCGTTCGATTCTGTGAATCTGAACAATGGGCTCGAATGTCCGGCTTACATTTTCTCGCATTCTTGATTTACCCTGTGGCACGCATCGAAATACCCGTGTATCAACTCGAGTTGACTTCGGCGCTTTGATAGCACTGTCTCTGTCTGCGTTTACATGTTAATTTCAGACTTTGGACAACTGGGAATGGACCGCCCTGAGTTGGTCAGCGCTCTTTCTCAGATATACATGTATAAGAGTTCCTTGAGCCCTTCTATGCTACACAGGAACTGTTCCATGCTGATGATAACCATTTGACCAAATGAACTATGCCCCTCTTACTGAATTGACCAGTTTGTATTATCCTCCATGGAGTGTGCTATGAGCTTTGAATAGGTTTTATCTTCTTACACAAGTCAAGCTCAAATATTTATTTCTTTTTGGCTTGTTCCGTAAGTATTGTACTCCTCCCATGCTTTTCTATTCCCATCACTTCAACGGACTATCTGGGAGAAATGTTAAGGCAGCCTGTCAATTTCGTTGCAACTGATAAAAGAAAATATGACACAATTGCCCATGTTTTTGCTATAGGTGTTCAAGTTAGTTAACTCTCCTGTATCTTTCAATATACAAAGGGGTATTCTTGGGGGAAGTTATACGAAAAGATAATTATTAGGGTTGTGTGGTCACATGTCACTCTCTCAAGAACGCATGTTCTATTCCCTTTTCGTCTTAAATTCTGGTAAATTGCCTTTTTTTTCCTCCCCTTTCATGTAGGTTATGTCTTTCTCTTACTATAAGATTCTATTATTTGGAAGAAAGAGTGCACCTTGGACAATTCTGATATTTATTATCTGGACATCCCTTTAAAATCTCTCTTTCCTCATCCTTTTTGTCTGTTATATATATATGTAATTACTCTTCAAAGAAAGTATGCAACTAGTATGGATAATTTGATCGGGTAATCATCTAAGTATGCATTTGAGCCCATACACGTGAAACTAAGTAATACTAATGTTGAGCAACATGCTAAGTTTGACAAACCTGTTAAGTGATATGTTCTGCTTTGTCTATTGGTGCTTCTGACCTAGTAAAATATAAGAAATTTGATGAATTGGCATTCTTAGCAATCCTTATTTCAACTGCTTTAGTTATAACTAAAGTGTTTGTTCCTTTATAATTATCTGTGTTTCCTTATTCCACTTCACTGTGTGAGTTTGAGTGAACAAATGTGGGGTTGGGTGTCATATTATCCAATTGATGGTCAAAAAATTGTCTTTCCAGCATGCAGCAATGTGTGGTACACTTTTCTAGCATATATAATACTTGATGGGCAAGTGACTAGTTATGCAGATACTAATGCTTGATATTAATTTCATGAATGCGATGAAATATCTCAAAGTTTTCTTTTATTTTTCTCTCTGCGTGTTGGTAGAAGTGGAATGGTTTAATTAGGTAACTTCCCTGTCCTTAAATGTTTGTAAATTCAAAACAAACCTGTTTGTCATCATGTCCTTCACTTACTGGCAATGCTTCCTTTAGAATGTGGAAATTGAAAGTTGCGGAAGGAGCAAATCCTTGGCTGAGAAGTCTGAACAATCATGTTGGTAGACAAATTTGGGAGTTCGATCCAAATTGTGGATCCCCAGAAGAGATTCAGGAGATTGAAGAAGCTCGTGCAAACTTTTCAAAGCATCGGTTTGAGAAGAAGCACAGCTCAGATC